TTTCTTAACATCGTCGTCGTCGTCGTTGTCGTTAATTTTGTTGTAAATGTAGTTGACCTTGCCACTCTCCGAGCATGTGCAGCAGCATAATCACATGCTGTGTGTTGGGTATGTGGACATGTTGGCGCTGTGTTGGCTGAAGAATTCAATGCTGTTTTGGACGTGGTGCTGCTGCTGAGAATGCATTAATTTGTCAAAGTCGGTTTTTTTGAGTTTTATGTGGGTTCATTGAAATCATCAAGTGTAATGAACAGAATTTTAATTACGAAATTGTCAATGTAATTGACTTCTTTTAGAATCTAGAATAATCTCCTTAAATGAGAGAGGGAGGGACAATGAGAGTTTTGAGAAGAGCCACATTAGCCAAAGGCGTGGATTTTTTATAGAATTTTTGAGAAGTTCTATCATTGCCATAGGCATGGATTTTTTAAAGAATTTTATAGAGGCTCCATATATGCCATAGGCATGGATTTTTTAAAGAATTTTATAGAGGCTTCATACCTGACATAGGCGTGGATTTTTTAAAGAATTTTATAGAGGCTCCATATTTGCCATAGGCGTGGATTTTTTAAAGAATTTTATAGAGGCTCCATATTTGCCATAGGCGTGGATTTTTTAAAGAATTTTATAGAGGCTCCATATTTGCCATAGGCGTGGATTTTTAAAGAATTTTATTGAGGCTCCATATTTGCCATAGACGTGGATTTTTTAAAGAATTTTATAGAGGCTCCATATTTTCCATAGGCGTGGATTTTTTAAAGAATTTTATAGAGGCTCCATATTTGCCATAGGCGTGGATTTTTTAAAGAATTTTATAGAGGCTTCATATTTGCCATAGGCGTGGATTTTTTAAAGAATTTTATAGAGGCTTCATATTTGCCATAGGCGTGGATTTTTTAAAGAATTTTATAGAGGCTTCATATTTGCCATAGGCGTGGATTTTTTAAAGAATTTTATAGAGGCTTCATATTTGCCATAGGCGTGGATTTTTTAAAGAATTTGTTAGAAGTCCCATCTTTGTTATTCCACATGTTTTTGAAAATAATTTTTATTTGGAAATTTAGATTCCTATTATGGCATATGTTTTGGTAAATTAGTTGTATTTTATCAAAAATCCCACTAAACAGTTGCAAATTTTCCCACCCTTTGCTTGGATTTTTTAAAGAATTTTTGAGAAGTTGTATCATTGCCAAAGGCGTGGATTTTTTTAAGAATTTTATAGAAGTTCTATCTTTGCCATAGGCCTGGATTTTTAAAGAATTTTTCAGAATTTTATCTTTGCCATAGGCGTGGATTTTTTTAAGAATTTTATAGAAGTTCTATCTTTGCCATAGGAGTGGATTTTTAAAGAATTTTTCAGAATTCTATCTTTGCCATAGGCGTGGATTTTTTTAAGAATTTTATAGAAGTTCTATCTTTGCCATAGGCCTGGATTTTTAAAGAATTTTATAGAGGATCCATATTTGTCATAGGCGTGGATTTTGTAAAGAATTTTATAGAGGCTATATATTTGACATAGGCGTGGATTATTTAAAGAATTTTATAGAGGCTCCATATTTGTCATAGGCGTGGATTTTTTATCTTTGCCATAGGCCTGGATTTTTAAAGAATTTTTCAAAAGTTCTATCTTTGTCATTGGCGTGGATTTTTTAAAGAATTTTTGAGAAGTTCTATCTTTGCCATAGGCGTGGATTTTTTAAAGAAGTTTTCAAAAGTTCTATCTTTGTCATTGGCGTGGATTTTTTAAAGAATTTTTGAGAAGTACTATCTTTGCCATAGGCGTGGATTTTTTAAAGAATTTTTGAGAAGTTCTATCTTTGTCATAGGCGTGGATTTTTTAAAGATTTTTTGAGAAGTTCTATCATTGCCATGGGCGTGGATTTTCTAAAGGATTTTTGAGAAGTTCTATCTTTGAAATAGGCGTGGATTTTTTAAAGGATTTTTGAGAAGTTCTATCTTTGAAATAGGCGTGGATTTTTTAAAGAATTTTTCAGAAGTTCTATCCTAGCAATAGGCGTGGATTTTTTAAAGAATTTTTCAGAAGTTCTATCCTAGCAATAGGCGTGGATTTTTTAAAGAATTTTTCAGAAGTTCTATCCTAGCAATAGGCGTGGATTTTTTAAAGAATTTTTCAGAAGTTCTATCTTTGAAATAGGCGTGGATTTTTAAAGAATTTTTAAGAAGTTCTATCCTAGCAATAGGCGTGGATTTTTTAAAGAATTTTTCGGAAGTTCTATCTTTGAAATAGGCGTGGATTTTTTAAAGAATTTTTCAGAAGTTCTATCCTAGCAATAGGCGTGGATTTTTTAAATAATTTTTCAGAAGTTCTATCCTAGCAATAGGCGTGGATTTTTTAAAGAATTTTTCAGAAGTTCTATCTTTGAAATAGGCGTGGATTTTTAAAGAATTTTTAAGAAGTTCTATCCTAGCAATAGGCGTGGATTTTTTAAAGAATTTTTCGGAAGTTCTATCTTTGAAATAGGCGTGGATTGTTTAAAGAATTTTTCAGAAGTTCTATCCTAGCAATAGGCGTGGATTTTTTAAATAATTTTTCAGAAGTTCTATCCTAGCAATAGGCGTGGATTTTTTAAAGAATTTTTCAGAAGTTCTATCTTTGAAATAGGCGTGGATTTTTAAAGAATTTTTAAGAAGTTCTATCCTAGCAATAGGCGTGGATTTTTTAAAGAATTTTTCGGAAGTTCTATCTTTGAAATTTTTTATTTTTGAGGAGGTCCAGATTTTTTTAAGAATTTTTGAGGAGGTCCATATTTTCTATAGCCGTGGATTTTTTAAAGAATTTTTGAGGAGGTCCAGATTTTTTTAAGAATTTTTGAGGAGGTCCATATTTTCTATAGCCGTGGATTTTTAAAGTATTTTTTTAAAGAATTTTTGAGGAGGTCCATATTTTCTATAGCAGTGGATTTTTAAAGTATTTTTTTAAAGAATTTTTGAGGAGGTCCATATTTTCTATAGCCGTGGATTTTTTAAAGAATTTTTGAGGAGGTCCATATTTTCTATAGCCGTGGATTTTTAAAGTATTTTTTTTAAAGAATTTTTGAGGAGGTCCATATTTTCTATAGCCGTGGATTTTTAAAGTATTTTTTTTAAAGAATTTTTGAGGAGGTCCATATTTTCTATAGCCGTGGTTTTTTTAAAGAATTTTTGAGGAGGTCCATATTTTCTATAGCCGTGGATTTTTTAAAGAATTTTTGAGGAGGTCCAGATTTTTTTAAGAATTTTTGAGGAGGTCCATATTTTCTATAGCCGTGGATTTTTTAAAGAATTTTTGAGGAGGTCCATATTTTCTATAGCCGTGGATTTTTTAAAGAATTTTTGAGGAGGTCCAGATTTTTTTAAGAATTTTTGAGGAGGTCCATATTTTCTATAGCCGTGGATTTTTTAAAGAATTTTTGAGGAGGTCCATATTTTCTATAGCCGTGGATTTTTTAAAGAATTTTTGAGGAGGTCCATATTTTCTATAGCCGTGGATTTTTGAAGTATTTTATTAAAGAATTTTTGAGGAGGTCCATATTTTCTATAGCCGTGGATTTTTAAAGTATTTTTTTAAAGAATTTTTGAGGAGGTCCATATTTTCTATAGCCGTGGATTTTTAAAGTATTTTTTTAAAGAATTTTTGAGGAGGTCCATATTTTCTATAGCAGTGGATTTTTAAAGTATTTTTTTAAAGAATTTTTGAGGAGGTCCATATTTTCTATAGCCGTGGATTTTTTAAAGAATTTTTGAGGAGGTCCATATTTTCTATAGCCGTGGATTTTTAAAGTATTTTTTTTAAAGAATTTTTGAGGAGGTCCATATTTTCTATAGCCGTGGATTTTTAAAGTATTTTTTTTTTAAAGAATTTTTGAGGAGGTCCATATTTTCTATAGCCGTGGATTTTTAAAGTATTTTTTTTAAAGAATTTTTGAGGAGGTCCATATTTTCTATAGCCGTGGATTTTTAAAGTATTTTTTTTTAAAGAATTTTAGAGAAGTTTTATCTTTGCCATAGGCGTGGATTTTTTAAAGAATTTTTCAGAAGTTCTATCTTTGCCATAGGCGTGGATTTTTTAAAGAATTTTTTAGAAGTTACAAATTTGTTATTCCACATGATTTTGAAAATAATTTTTATTTGGAAATTTAGATTCCTTTTATAGCTTATGTTTTGAGCAAATAATTGTAATTTATCAAAAATCCTACTGAACATTGCAAATTTTTCCACCCTTATTAATTTCAATTGAACAACGTTTGTCGCTTAAGTCTTTCGTTTCCTCAAACATATTTTATGCTGCTGGTCTGCATAGATATATCATGTTATTTTTTTTTGCTCCAAAGCTTATCTTTCTATAAACATTAATAATTACATTGAAAATTTAAAATGACTAGAAAACTGGTTAAATCTGGCAGGAGGTGTTATTAGTCTATATTTAAACTGTTTCATGGCGGCGGTGTTGTTTCGTTTTCATGGTTTTTTTACCAAACTGAAAGTTGTCTTTGGCTGCTATTAGATAAGCGAAAATAGCATGCCTGTTTTCTTATTGAAGCAGGAAATAACATGATTTTGCACCTACAAAAATACAATTCTGTGCTGTCTCTGACTCTGGCTTATGGGAGGAAAATTACGGTTAAGCCTTTAAAACGGGACTCATACGTGAACGAATGAATGTCCCAATTAATGGTTAAGATAAAATTTGGAGTTGCACATGGGATATTTATATTATATATATATATTCGGGAGCATTTGTCAAAAATGAAATGGATCGATGGAATTGATTTCAATTTTAGACAAGCAAAAATACGTGAAACTAAAATATTAATTGATTTGGAAATGGGACATGATTTAAAGTGGTTCATATCAGTTTTAATGGCTGTATTATTTTATTTATAGAAATTAACCAGCAATGATGTGGTATTCCAATATATGGACAGATTAAATTCTAATTTTAGACGGACATGGATTAAGATTATATAGTATTTATTGTCATAGCCTGTGGATCTACTTACTTTATTTCCCGCTACATGAATAATACATTTCTGGAAATAAAAAGGAAACAAATAAAATATTAATAATGTAATTCTCTTCCATAAATATTATATTTTTCCTCTCTAAAACTTGTGTTGATTTTCCCTCTTTTTATTAGAGCCCACCCGAAAATCCAGCAGATTATAAAAGTAGAACCAAGACGTTTTGAAAGTTTTTTATCGTAAAATAATCTAAAAGAGGTATTTTTGGTGCTGTTTTAAAATATGGTTAAAAACTCAATTTAAACGGGATCCTAGCAAGTCAAAATATTCAACAAAATTATTTGTCATAAAATTCTACTATAGGTCCAAGAATACATCAAAACTATAAATCTTACCTAAACGACTGGAATTAATATGTATTAAACAAGTAAAAAAATATCAGTCGGTTTTGCCGACAGATGTATACCTTCAGCCAATGTTCGATTATATAAATATATTTTGACTTGTGTTATGATTATTCAAATTGTTGACCCTCTATGGAGTAGGTTCCAAAGGAATAGGTCAACATTGCCCAGTCCGCATCGGACCTAAATAATTATGATATAAATATTGCGACGTGCCAGCTTTTGACTATATCGACCTCTTCCTTCACTTTATATGAGATATGTAATAATTTTTTGAAAATGGTAACATGTGCGAGGGCAACCAGATATAGTCGACCGAAGTATTCCATTCTCATGCTTCATCTAATACATATAAAAATATTGGTATGGGCGAAATTACAAGAAAATCGAACCTTTATATCCAATTTATGGAAAATCATAAATTTAATATTAATCTCAGGTTTCTGGCAAAGAGAGACATATGATGTTATAAAGAATCGCTGACTTGTTTCGCAAGCTATGACAGATAAAAGTATTAAAAATTATGAACCTTTGTGGGCGAGGTACCAGAAGGGGTCCGCAGATATATATTATCTTCACAACAGATCTTGTGTTAGCAAAAATGTTTGTATGTATGGAATTTGAAGAGAGTTGGATGCTTATTTCGCTTTCTTTGGGAGTTTTGTTTTTCAAAATCTTGAACCCTATGTGGGGGAGGTACCAGAAAAAATGGTCCGATATCTACCATCTTTATGAGAGATTTTGAGCTGATTGATATATTGAGATATACCAAGTCTGAATGGTATCGGATGTTAATTTCGCGTTTTATGAGCTTCATGGATATTCAAAATGTAAACCCTTTGTGGGGGAGGTACAAGAAGGAGTGGACCGATATATCCCATCTTCACAGCAGTTCTTATGTTAGTAGAAATAATGGGATGTGTAAAATATGAAGAGAACCGGATGCTTATTTCAGATTTTATGATCGTTTTGGTTATTAAAAGCTTTGACTCTTTGTGGAGGAGGTACCAGAAGGAATGGTCCAATCTCTACCATCTTTATAACAGATCTTGTGTTGATAGAAATATTGAGATGTGCCAATTGGAGATGTGAATGGAAATTGGGTGTTAATTTCGCATTTTATAAGCTTCATGGATATTGAAAATTTTGACCCTTTTTTGGGGAAGATACCAGAAAGAGCGGACCGATATATTCCATCTTCACACCAGATCTTGGTTTAATAAAAATATGTGTGAAATTTGAAGACAGTCGTACTCTTACATTACATTTTATAAGAGTTATAACTACTCAAAATTTTGACCTGTTGTGGGGAGGTACGTGATGGGGTGGGTCGATATTGTCCAAATTGTGGGTCGGATTTGCAAAATTCGAAGAAAATTGGATGATCTGTTCTTGTTGTATATGGAAAATTATTTTCTGTGAAAATTTTGACCTTTTGTGGGGGAGGTACCCAGAAGGAGTGGGCATATATTGCCTATCTGCAAATTCAATCTAAGTTTGACAATAATATTGCGATGTACCACCTTCGAATCAAATCGGATGTTCCCTTCGAGAGTTGTCGTGCGCATCAGCCAGACGGACGGTTAGACAGACGGACATTCCGTAGATCGACTCCAAATGTCCTGAAACGGATTTGGTCCAAAGGGACCTGGGGTCAAAAACCGTTATTTCGATTAGGCACGTTTTGGCCGTATCAAATGATATATTCCCTCTCTAGCTATATGGCTGAGGGTATAAAAATTGGGAAATTTTTTAGCGTGTTAATGGATATATTTATACCCTACGCCACATAGTCCGTCTGTCCACATATTTTTGTGAACAAAATACAGGTCGCAATTATTATCCGATTGAGATGAAATTTTCCAAACAATAGTTGTTTGGCTCAGGGACGGACCCTATTGAAATTGATGAGAATCGGTTCAAATTTAGATATAGCTCCCATATATATATATTCAACCGATTTCGGGTTAATTGTGCACGACATGTCAATATCATTCAAAATGACCTGCATTTTAGCACATCCGACTGGATTCAGTTTAGAGGCAAGTACATTAAGTTTGGAGAAAATTGTTTCAGATATAGGTATAGCTCTCATGTATATGTTTCATCCGATTTGGTGTTAAAGTTCCTCACATGAAACCGGGCATCAGATACTGCTCGAAAATACCTCTTTCTAATTTTATGGAGATCGGTTCAGATTTTTACATTTTGATCCGATTTTACTTTTATAGTTTACCATACATATATTTTATATTAGCCCATATTGGATGGATTTTTATACCCTACACCACATAGTGGTGTAGGGTATGTGTATTTGTTTGTAACATGGAGACGGAAGCGAGATAGACCCATAGTTACTTTTGAGGATCTCCATAGAATCACTTTCTGAGTTGATTTATGCATGTCAGTTCGTCTGGCCGTCCGTCCTTCCGTCTGTCCATATATTCTTGTGAACAAAATGCAGGTCGCATTTATTATCCGATTAAGATGAAATTTTCCAAACAACATTTGTTTGGCCCAAGGACGAACCCTATTGAAATTGGAGATTATCGGTAAAAAAATTAGATATATCTTCGTCCGAACGAACGAAACGTGTAATATCAGCCCGAATAGTATGGAATTTTGCACATACAACCAAATTAGTATGCCAAATTTGATCGAAATCGGTTCAGATATAGCTATAGCTCACATATATATTGTTCTGTTCTGTTATTTTTGTCCTCCGCAGCCGTAATATGCACTCTGTAACAACAATATTTGGGGAAATATATCAAATACAGCTCAGAAATACCTTTGCTAAATTTTATCGAGATCGGTTCAGTTTTGGATATAGCTACCATATATAACTTCGTCCGATTTACCTTTTACCTGGTATGATCTTCTTCACATAAATTTTCCCGGCCCCGCCCGAATTTTTACCTTTTTAATATTATTAAGGGAAAATAGGCTATCGTAGTAAAAATGTTTACATTCTTGCAGTTCTGGCGTAGGTCAGATATGTTTATACTAATTTATTGGGGAGTATTTTAACTTCTTTCTAAATATATTTTTTGGAAATTTTGTTTATTAATTTTTTCTTTAATTTATCTCTGTATGCAATATCCAAAAAATACATTGTTTGAGAAGACAATCACATTTTTTTAACTCTTTGGTTATTTGAAAGAGTGGTGAATGAACCCCGGGTTAAAGTTAATTGCTTACTACACAGGCAAAAATGTAGAGCAAGGTTTATGCAACTTTTCACTAACATTGAAAGTATTACAAATCTATATACCGCAAATTGCCTTCGGATACATATTCAAATAGACAACAATTTACTACTGTGGCCGGAGGCATATGTTTCATTTTCTTCAAAAAAATATATACACAAAATAACAATAAAAACTTCAAATTGTAATAATGATTTTTCAATTCATACACACATGCCGAGCATAGATGCAAACCATACATCATAAAAAATATTGACTTCACAACAACAACGATCAAACAAAAATTGGTTTTTTAAACGAAAAAACGCCGATTGGAAAACGTACGCGCTAACGCAATGCCCCTGCAATGGGGTGAATGGTGTATTGGTAACAACAAACTGAAGCTGTAAATAAATTAAACGCATATCTTCCAGCTGTCATCTGCGTCAATGGTACGTATGCGATGCAAAAAAAAAAAAAATTCGTTGAACAAAAAATTGATATATTTTTCTGTTTTTCGTTTTGTGACTGCGGTTTTTTTAATGGTTTCATGTTATGTATTGGCTCATTACATTCGGTTTCGTAATTTTGTTGGCAAAAAACATAAAAACAAATAATTATGTTTTATTATTTTTTGTTTTTGCATTAGAAAACACATAAAAAGTTACGCACCAGGTTATATTGCGCACAGGTTGGACATAAGTCCCAAAAGTAAACGTGTTGAAGAGCTGAGCATAGTTGGTTTACACTTTCACCTGACAAACGATTTATCATCGTATCATTGCTGTAAAATTTAGCCATGGAGGAAATGATATTTTTAGAAAAATTATGTTCAAGGTCAAAGTTTCATGCTGGGTAAAAAATTAAAATATACAATTTACAGAACATGTTTAATAATTTTTCGAATGAGAGTACCTTTCCGAAGGGTTCATATTTAAGTAAAATAACAAGTTAAATAGTATCTCTCGGTTTTGCCGACAGATGTGTACACTCACCCAATGTACGATCACTTAAAAATATTTTGACTTCCGAAAGAATAGACCAATATTGGCCATTTCGTATCGAATCTAAATAAATATGATATAAATATTGGAGTACATTGGTAACATCCTTCACTTTACATGACATATATGATAATTTTTAGAACATGTTAATGTGCGTGAGCTACCAGATATAGTCGATTGAAGCATTCCATCATATATTCCATATCTCAGGTTTCTGGCAAAAAGAGATATATTTAGATATAGCAATTTGTAAAGACTCGCTGACTTGTTTTGCAAGTTATGACAGATAAAAGTATCGAAAATTGTGATCCTGTGTGAATGAGGTACCAGAAGGGGTTCACAGATATATATCATCTGCACAACAGACATTGTATTAGCAAAAATGTTTGTATTTGTGAAATTTGAGGAGAGTTGGATGCTTATTTCGCTTTCTTTGAGCCTTTGTGAGGGAGGTACTAGAAGAGGTGGACCGA